GTTCATTTAGTCTCTTCAACACCCGTCTTTAGGTTGACACGAAGCATCAAAAACCTAGGTTTTACTTGAAAGTGCGGCAAAACGTATCATGCCATTTCGAAATGAAATCGAAAAGCCAAACGTAACGTTCGGTATTCCTGTCTAATTCCTTGCTTTTAGTTTATCTAATCAAATATCCACCGCGGGGGGAATTATGATATTAAAAGTCTCGTTGTCATTGTGATATTGGCTTTCTAAGGGTCGTACTAATACATTACATCCGACAAACCTTGTTGCTTCATGCAATGCACGAATGTAGCGACGAACGAAATTACGAATTACGCCGTTACCGTCACATCACTGATAAATTGTTGATAAGTTTGTATTTTTAAGCGTAGCGTTGGTGGGTATTATTGCACGTTATTGTTCGCCGAGTAATCACTTTGTAAAATTATTCCGATTGCTTCGAGAAGTTGAAGCGTGAGATTTTTAAGGTGAACGCACGAGAAGATAATTTCGAGCGCTAAAGACCGTCTAAACTAAGGGTTCTGGAGGCAGAAAATGTTTACATAAAGGGTCTCGGAAATGCCATGCCTGCGTTTTCTGCAGGAAAATCTGGGTTAATAAATACGAATGAAAATGCACTTGTTCGTGGTCCAGTCTCCCCACCTCTAGTGCTATCAGTAAAGCACAAGCTTACGGCTTGCTGCAGACAGTGTTACATACATTTGTAGACCGGTATCATGCAGCTGTGTAATTATCTTATTTTTTAACAAAAGACATTTGCAGAAACGAGTTATTTTATGGACTGAACTTTTATTGCCACATCGAAAAATTCCATAGGACAATTCATTACCTGACGAAAGAAAAAAATTCCGCGTTAAATTGCACTTGAAAACAGATATCGGTTTTCAAGTGCAATTTAACCCAGAATTCCCTCGTCAGGTAAAGAATTTTCCTTGAATCACATAATTCAACGAAAATAAGAAAAAATGAAAACAGTTATAATCTTGTTTGTTTTTATCCTGGGCGGGCGCCCCAGAAAGCCATTACAAAGTCAACTGTTCGAACTTTCATTGTGTTAGCGAATAGGAAACAAGGTCAGTCACACATTTGAATCTTCGACGACTTTATTTTTCCCTGTGCTTGTTTTAACATTTGTTTTCAAACTTTTAAACAAGCTTCACACTATATTAAGGATAATAGATGTATTCCCCTGAGTTTAAAGCCGTTTATCTTTAAAATCTTTTTCCAAATTTCCGAATCATTTTCTCGAGAAGGAAAATAATTTACACCTTTTTCCTCTTTTGGTGGCAAAACTGAAAAAAATATAGTGTCCAAGCGCAAGCACCGAAAGTTTAACATCGCGATTAAAGGTATTTATTTCTTCTTCTATATATATGACAATCGACCCTGGCACTTCTTCCGTTGTCGCTACTTTGTCTTGTTTGGTTGAACATTTGCATGCCATTTTCTGGACCGTGTTTACAGGATTTTCCAGCTTTTATGCGTCTCTAAGAATTTGTAGTTCATTTCGAAACAGGGAAGAACCTCTAACTCACTTTCAAAAACGGTTCTTTTTTGTTTTTGGCTCTTCAAAAGTTGACAGTGGTTTTTAAAAAAACCTTAAAATGACATTGTAGAAAATTTTGTAACAATTTCACGATATATGTTATGTTTACGCAGATGCAAAACAATACCACTTAGCCACGGTTTCAACTCGCAATTCCACACGAAATACTTCGCTTCCTTGACCAATCAGAATGCGATATTTTATTCAATTATGCGATTCTGAGACTGACCAATGGAGCGTTAAAGTCATTTGACCCGACTCGCTTTGTGTGCTGAGGAATTTTGCCTGCTACAGTTCGCGGGACACTGACAAATTTGAACACAGTTAATGTCACTTCATTCATGACCAATTGTGTAACCAAATTCGATAGGTATCCAATTTGATGATAACGAAGCTGTTTTATTAGCCTGAGAATAAACTTACATTTTTTCGCTCATGAAAGTATCTTTAACGTCTCGGTGGGAGTTAAATAGGAACTGGTCTTAAAACTCGATGATAAACGGTTATGAACAATATCTTAATAAAGCTGCATTAACACCTGGACTAGAAAAAAATTTGTTTGAAACGTCTATTGGCTTAGAAAATTCGTTCGCTAAATAGATTATCAATGAAAAATGTGTAAGGAAATTTAGAAAAGGAATCATTGTAGTATTGAATGTTCACCTTCGATTTCCCCCTCATTCTTAACCAGTCTAGTTATCAAGTAAAGAATATTCTATTCAGTTCAGTGTTCAGATATGTGTTTTCCTCTGATCTCTATCCTTCGCACAAAGGGATGAAGAAAAAAGAAAAAAAAATAAGAACAAAACAAGAACAAAAAACAATCAGCTTTGTGACACATGTAGCCAAGTCAAAAAGTGAGAGTCAATTTTAAATGCGCGCGTCAAGACACTCGAAGTGCAACAACTGAAAATGAGAATTTTAAAAATGTGTTACGCACTCTTAATTTCTCTTTAAGAGTCTATGAAAAAATACTGCGCACTAATACTTAACTAATGTTAATCTGAAAAAAATTATTGAGAGGCCAGGAGGGAGTACCAATCCAATTGACCAGTTATTCCTAAATAAATACCCAACATTCGAGCGTCTCTGAATCATGTTACCTCAAGCTCAATGGAGTAACAAAATACCACTGGTAAACACGTCAATATATCACGGTGGTGGATGACTCACTAGCTCCTACAATACAATACAATACAATAGGAGTTTATTGTGAAAATACACTTAGCTACAATAATGGTGTGCTTTCACAGACGGAACCGAAATCGGGGTCTGTGAAAGCACGCCAGCTAATTTACAGGTATTCCACAAAAAAACATCAAAAAAAACGTCAAAAAAAAAAACTAGATATGGACTATTCTATAACTTAAAATTATAACAATAAAATCTTAATAAGTATATCTTATATCTAAATAAATACTAAATTCAATAAAAAAGCGTCGAAATTATAAAAATTGCATTAGGTCAACTTGGCTAATGGATCTCTTAAAAGACTTAAAATTCGTTATATTCCTAAACATGTTCGGAATAGAATTCCAGAGTTTCGGACCAATATAACGGACTGAGTTCAAGCCATTTGTAGTAGACTTTGGCTTGGGTAGCGAGAGGATATAGTCACCTCTTAAATTGTAGCTAACGTTCTTCCTATGAACTATCAGGTCTTGTATACTTTTGGGCGCTAAAGAATTGTGGACGACATTTAAAACAGACAGTGTGATTTTAATTAATCTTTGTTGTTTTAAAGATGAGAGGCCTAATGCGTTGAGAAGTTCCGAGCAGCTTGTGTACTTATCCCTGAAAACAAACCTGATCGCGCGCTCATTTAACGTTTCCAATTTGTCTGCAGCACTTTTACTACAAAAATTCCAGGTTTCACAGCCATAATTGAAGTGAGGAAGGATAAATGCTAAATATAGGTCGCGCCTTGTTTCAAAGGGAGCATTTTCTTCAGTCTTTTAAGAACAGCTATTCGCTGTGAAACTTTCCTTCATATTTTAGCAACATAATTGTCAAACTTCAGTTTGTTATCTATCGTTATGCCAAGCATGTCAAATTCTTTAGTCACTGGGATACTGGAATTTTCATACTTGAAATCAGGTGTGGCGTTAGATCTTCCCATCACAATAGCTTGATACTTAGAATTGTTCCTTTTCAGACCGTTCTCATCATATTATTTATCAACAAGCTCGAGATCAGAGTTTATAGCACTCTCAACTTCTCCATAGTTATTATGAGCAAAGAAAATTTGCGTGTCGTCTGCGTCGCTAGAGAGTTTGCATCTTTTCACGATGAACAGGAGATCGTTGATGAATATATTGAATATCAAAGACCCGAGGATTGATCCTTGGGCAATCCCTCTGAAGTATAATTCCAGCTCGAATATTCTCCAGCAACTTTCACTCGTTGTTGGCGATCAGAGAAATAATCCTCAATGATATTAGCAGTTCTCTCGTCAGCACCGTACCTTTGAACTTCTTCACAATAAGATCGTTTGGTAGAGAGTCGAAGGCCTTCGACAGGTCCATAGGCACAAGGCCATTTACTTTCCGATCGTCCAGTCCTTTTGCCATTCCTTCGTAAGACTGAGCAGGGCCGTATCACAACCGTGATGTTTTCTATAAGCGAACACGAACTTGTGGAGAATATTTCTGAACCGGGGACTGACTCTTGAATGAACGAGCGTTTCGAAGACTTTTGACAAAGATGGAAGAATGGTGAGAGGTCTGTAATTATCTTTGGACAGGCTGCAGTCTTTCTTATACACTGGAGTTATTTCGCCCTTTTTCCACTGTTTAGGGATTTTTCCAACGTCCAGAATATAACTAAAGAGAGTACAGTACGGGTCACACAACACTTCAGCAGAATCATTCACTGCCCTCGCGGGAATAAGATCGTGGCCAATGGCTTTATTTGTTTTCATGTTACGCATGATTTCCCTCACTTCTATGGGGTTAGTATAATTTAGGGTGATCTGGCCGCAGGCGGAGTCGTGTGGAAAATGTGTGAAATCCTTCATGCGTTCAGTTGTTTTATCAGTGCCAACAATGTTTGAAAAGAAATCGTTCAAAGTTTCTGCAACTTCACGTGGCTCTCACATTATCTGATCGTTCTCCTTAAGAACAATACGGCTATTGTTCTTTTTCTTACGAGAATTAATATACGGTCTAATTGTGTTCCAGAATTTTCTTTGATCTGCCTATTTCTCCTTACAAAGTGTTTTGAAGTGGTTCTGTACAGCTTTTCTTCTCATGCTGACAAGTTCGTTCTTAAGACACGGTATTTTTCCCCCTCGAGAAGATTCCTGGATCTGTAATATCGCTTTTTCTGTTTATCTCGGTCCCGCATTGTCTTCCGAATTTCGTCTGTTATAAGTACTCCAGCCGGTGACGGGCGTTTCTTAACTATTCTTGGGCGCATGAGCATCCAGAACTTGATCGTAGAGTTGATGTCAACACCAATATACATCGTCAGGATCATCAAACACGTATGAGACAGAGAAAGGCACTGTTAATAAATCAGCTTGAAATGAATCCTTATCAAAAGCTTTAAAGGATCGTTTAGTTATGGTTTCTGCTTTTGATCGCATGTGTCGGGTTTTCAGAACCGTATGTACGAGATCATGGTCGCTTAGACCCGTATGAATGACACCCGAGTCTTTGGCAAACGCGGGGACGTTAGTAAGAATAACGTCGAGACAGGATTCCCTGTTTTTACTGATCCTTGTAGGAACATTAATAAGGCTGTGAAGGTTATAAATGTCACACATATCCAGTAAACACTGACCCTCTTTGTGATTATCAAGTGGGTGGAGGATGTCCGAATTTAAGTCTCCGCCTTGAAGCCTTGAATCTGCGTTCCACATGCGAATACGGACAAGTAGTATCCTTATATTCAAAAGTTAGGTCAGGTAATACACGGATAATAACGCAGAGGGCAAAAATTAAGCCAAAGTTACGAGCGCTCAACATTCCGTGTATCCTCGTGGGATGAGGTGAACAGCATATATATACGAAAGGAAGGTTTATTATGTTCCATTGACGGCTTTCTTGTAATTATTATGTCCGCCCATTTCTATGTACTACCTGTTACCAAATCCTGCGGATTTGAAAAGTTTTTTTATAGAGATATCTAGGTCCGTATAACCGTAATTGAATTTAACTACTGCTGGTTATATTTCTAATAAAGTGGATATAGGAATACGGGCAATATGAGATCTGTGAGGAAAAATGATATTCCATGCGGCAATATGTCTAAACAGAACAAGAAACTTCCTAAATCATAGTTGCCCTCGATGAGGTATATTTGAACTAAACAAACTGAACCCAGAAATTTGTTAGCGATCATAAAATAACAATTCTGATGATAATTTGTGAGAGGAAACAAAACCAGGCAAAGGGAAAAAGTTTTTCTCACTACTGATATCCATTATTTTTGAGCGCTCAAATCAGGGTTGCTTCCATTGTGTCCTTTTTCCAAGCCTTTTGGGGGGAAATATTTTTAAAATCTGTGAGGGGTGGCAGGAATATTGAGCGGATGAGAAGACTGTACAACATTGGACCAAAGAAATTGTTTCTTTTTAACCGATTTTGTTTACTCGCGCTACACTATTTTCCTTTCACAAAATTTATTGAAGTTGTCTCAGCTTGAATTAAAATTGCCTTGAAGTCATCGTTAAATTTACGAAAGTGTTTAGAACACTTAAACTTGGCAAAAATTATCAAGTGAAAGTTGAAATCGCGGACAGCGAAAAGAATTGTTATAGATCTTGAGTACGCATTTACATGTGAAGGTTTTTTTTTTACTTATCATGTATACAAGATTCTAAGAAATATGTAAAGGAAAATGCATTTAGTTTGTCGGTACAATTTTCTTGAACCAAGAACATAGCGAGTTCTTCCCTTCTTGGCGAGTAGTTTGAGGAGCTCTAGTCGAGGCTCTCTAAAGGTCTTTGTCTTTAGAACATCTAAAACGGAGCAATCTTGTTGTAAAACTGAATTTAAAATTAAGTGATCCCGAGTTATTAACCTCAGCGCTCGGTCATGTTTAACGCTCGTCTCAGAGCATGGATCCATGGATGTTGACACTTAATTAGAAATTGCAAGAGCACGAATGCTGGTCACGATTCTTAAATAACTATATGACCTGCAGTTGGAAGTTTACTGATTTATCGATGTGTTCGATCCAAACTGGCGTAAAAACAGGAGTCTAACTACTAGAAGGCATCAAAATGGTTGCAGATGTCAAAGAAAAGCTAGATATATGGCGATACAGCAGGGCTTGCTCTAAAGTTTTAATTATTTCTTTCCTTTATAATCTTTTAAGTATATTATATCATGCAGCGATTTTATGTTGTGTGTTGATATTTACTCCGTAGATAGCGATAATTTTTCGATACTCTGCAGCGCGAAAGCCAGATAGTTGTCTCTAAGTTTATCGGAATATATTCGATCCATAGAAGTTCTACCGAAGACTTATAGACACTTTATAAGCGCGGGATTTCCACTACTCTTTTTCTTTCCACGGGTGGCTGAGTGTCATTCTTGGTCTAGTATGTTCGACTAGGGGCTGGTCTTTGGGTAGAGATTTGACTCGCGTCCAGGCCTACCGTGTTGTAACTGTCTCCGGGTTTCACAAGAACTTCTTACCGCGGGTTCGCAGGACTTTAAAAAAGGCTGATCATTTAAAATTTTCTCTGGAGAGTTACAGAGGAGAGCTTAAACACCCGTAAGAAGCTTCTGTCTCATAGAGAGCTTGGGCCACGTGTACCTGAATTTCACTCGGGGAGTGTAGTCGTCAATTGTACTCTGCATCACAGTTTTCGTTCTTACATCATTGATAGCTTTTTTACCAGATTGACTATCCTTGCAAGTATTTCTCAGAGAAAAAGAAAGAAAGGAAGCTTACATGCGTATTTTCTACATTACAAAATCAATGAAAAGCACAGTGTAAAGGAGGAAATGCTGGGATCGTTTTCCTTCACACCATCTCTTTTTTCTTACTAAGTCAGCTACATTGGTTAATTTCACAATTCACAAGTCTTTCGGTGATAAGTATCCATAAGAACAGAGAAATGCTGCAAGATGCATCTATAAAAGAAAGCAATTTCCTGAAAAACTAGACAATAACGTGACGTTACACAGCATATATGTGCACCGTGCATCAATTCAATGCAGAGTCAGGTCGAACAAAGAGAGCTGAAATCTATCTTTTACCCTATGCTCTATGTGGTAATAAGTGTCAGAAAGATCATGGAAGAGTAATATTTTTAACGAATCAGTCTTTCCTGAATATTTCATGTAGCTAAGAGGAACATGAAGCCTTAGTTACAACATTAGTTTTGGTAATTCTCAATAAAGCCATCTTGAGATATATATATCGTTCGCTCTAACCATCAGAATCAAGCAACAAAGGTATTTCCAGATCGAACTGCTGTTGCGTTGATATAGATGGTTCGACCATTTAATGTCGAGGGGAACTTTTCATCGAGCACACCACGCCCGGCGAAAGGCATCAAGAATATAACACTATCTTTTTTACTATTGTTTCTTTAGTGACTCGGTTCTCCAGTAGACGATATAGTACACAAATATTATTTTAGTTAATTTATTCCTGCAACGATTAAAATGCTTTTGAGTGCAAATTCCGAACGGTATTTATTTGTCGAGACAACTCTATTGATGGAATCAAAAAATAATGCTGAAACTAATTATAAGTATTCTTGTCTTAAAACGGTGAGTGTAGCAAAAAAAAACCTGAAGAAAGTGGGAGTTTGAGAAGTTAATCAGAGCGCTCCTCCAGCGTTTTCCACTGCGTCAGTAAATACCTTTAACGAATTATGAAAACTATTGAATTTAACTACTGCTGATCATATTTCTAATAAAGTAGACATAGGGATACAGACAACATAAGACCTGTGAAGAAACCTCATTTTTTGGAAAACTATAATCCATGCGGGAATATAGCTAAAATAAAACACGATACATCCAGACATTTTTAGCAAAAATACCTCGCTATCGGACTTGTGAGTTTATACCCTGCTATATTTATTCAAAAGGTGCCCTAAATCCAAATCTACCGAACATATAAGTAATGTTTTAAGCATCGCTTTATTGACACTAACGTCTGTTTGCAGGCATTTTGTGTTTCCTGACCATCCTTAAATTAGTGCAACATACTTAACACCGCCTTTAAATGATTTCTTATCAGGTGGTTGGACAACAATCAGTTGAAGGGATTACCACAAGATATTTTCAGCAAAAACACCTTGCTGTTGGACTTGTAAGTTTATACCCTGCTTTATTTATGCAAAAGACGCCTTAAATCTAAATCAACCGAACAAAAGTAATGTTTTATCTTCAAATGACCGAGAGGTCGTCTTTCCTCTAAAGCTGATGCACAGTACCCTCGTTCCTACCTCTCCCTATGTGCCACTCCTCGTCTCATGAAATGTTAATTTTTCTTCATAAAATGAGCAGCCCTAGCAGTAGATCTTTTTAGCTGTGTGATCACGTAGTTTGTAATGGGTAAACAAGGATTCGAAATGGCTGCTCAAGTACGTACAGCAGACGACATTCTATTGACGAAATTCCTTCTTCTCTTGCCAAAATTATTATACTCAAAAAATGGGCGACAATTGACCTGAAGTCCTTTTTAAAACAAAATTTGAGATTTAAAAAACAAACTAACGAGCATACGATCTTTAAAGTTTAAAAAAATGCATGAGGCCAACACACGAAAAAGGCAAATATATTACACAAAGCAGGTTTCGCGGATTTTGTGACTTACGCTTAGAATGAACCTATATGCTTCACGTAAATGTATTCTATAATCTGATTACCTGACCGGCAACCGATCAAAGTTTTCAAACCACTGAATGACTGGAATTGGAAATTTCTCTGATAATTAAACAAATTGAGAGAGCCTACACAATCCAAATTATCATATGTCGACGAGGAACCGCAAAGTGATCCCAAAGTGATTCATAAATCTTATGTCTAGCGTTCGGTGATGCTTAACGCTGGTCTCAGAGTATGGAGCCATGGATGTTGACACATAAAATAGAGGTCGACTGCCGGTCACGGTTCCCAAATAACTAAATGACTTGCAGTTGGAAATTTACCGGAAATTTAAGGAAACCGAGAGAGCCTATACATCCCAAACTATTATAAGCTGATGACAAGCTTCTGAGCGATCTCGAAGATATTTTTAAATCTCATTTCTCATTTCTTTGTTCGGTTTCCGCTGACTCAGATGCATGCACGTACTTAAAAATTCCGTGATACTACGTGGGATGTTTTGTATGCGTTTTAATAGCAAAAAAAGGAAAAGAAAAGAAAAGAAAAGAATAAAAATTACATCGAAACAGACTGGTAGGGGTACCAATTGTTCTAGTTTAAGTCTGTCCTCTTTAAAAATCCTTCATAGCTAACAACTATTCAGCGAGGTGGAGGTAGCTCGCGGTAGTTATTTACCAAGCTGCAAAACTGCGAATTAAATATCCACCACTAGCCACCGATACTGATGTGAGTAGATGTTTTGGTGTATACTAAAACAGCGAGATAAAACAGCAAAAATTGATTTTTTATTTTATTCATACCTGCAACTATTAAAATGCTTTCGGGTGCAAAGGTTACATAACCTTAGATATAGATATATAAAAAAAGTTGTTTGAATCAAATCGCTTAAAAAAATAGCATACAATGAACGTGAAAGAAGCATCACACAAACTTCCTCTTTATTCCGTTGAGAAAGATCCATGTCCGGATA